AAGGGCAACCTGGGCATGTGCCCTTGACCAGAATCAATCCCAGGACTCTTCAGTGTGCAGGCTGATGCTCTATCCATTGAGCCAAACCAGCTAGGGTGGGAAATAACCTTTTAATGGAATATCAACATTTAGCACTTAATACTATATCTTTCCTTCATAGCCTCTGAATAGCAATGAATGTTGTGATATATATACAGTTTCTTATCGGAATGCTAACGTGTTTATCTGCTAGGAGATTCATCCAATCTATGATATCACTTTCAATTAATGTCTACAGGCTGCCAACCCACTTCAGGTGTTCTTAATAAGACCCTAGAATGGATTACTTGTTAACTCACATGTTGTGATGATTTAATTATTTAGTGAATTTAAAGTTGTATATAAATTTTAAAAACAATGACATCATTCTATGGAAATGTTGAAGCATTGTGGCTTAGAAGGAAAATATCCATTCTCATGTGTTTGTATAACATAAAATAGAGGTGGTTATCAGAACTAAAGCAGCGTTTTGTAGTTGTTGGAAAAATTGTGAAAGACTTTGAAACAGGGGAAAGAGATTACTGGATGTCTTTTCAGTGGAATATTGGATGTTGTCTAGTTCAGTGGTCGGCAAACTGCGGCTCACGAGCCACATGCGGCTCTTTGGACCCTTGAGTGTGGCTCTTCCACAAAATACCGACTTCTGCACATGGGCCACGAAGTTTCAATTGCACTGTACGTGCGCGCCCGCACGTGGTATTTTGTGGAAGAGCCACACTCAAGAGGCCAAAGAGCCACATGTGGCTCATGAGCCGCGGTTTGCCGACTACTGGTCTAGTGGATCCTTCACAATTATTTAATTCTAGGGCTGTATACCTTAAATTATCTTTGATGAAGCTATTTAACAACTCTGTCAATTATTTTAAAATGATAGTGATACAAATGAATTATGTTCATAGAGAAGCAATTACATTTGTCCTTGTATTTGGAACAGTTGATTTCCACACTGTAGAAAAGATCATTCCATTGTCCTGTATGACAGTGGTTGCCAACCGGTGGTCCTCGGACCACTGGTGGTCCGTGAGGTCTGAAAGGTTGGCAACTGCTGGTTTAAGGAAACCTTTCGAGCAGTGGTTGCCAACCGGTGGTCTGCAAGGTCCGAAAGATTGGCGACTGCTGCTGTATGATATTAAATATCTGTTTCCATCCATTAGCAAATTCCTTTTCTCATTTCTAATTGCACATATATGTCTGTTCTTACATTGTCCTTTGAACTGGTTTTTATATCTTACTGATCCCCTCATTGATTAATAAAATTAAAATCTTTATGACAACATGAATTTACTTAAAATTAAATTTATTGAGGTGATATTAGTTAATATATCATTTCAAGTGTACAATTCTATGCATCATCTGCATGTTGTATTTGCACATACTTTTTAAAAACATTAGTATCTGTTAATTCAAGAGGCACAATTACATTTAAAGAATAATATTTAATTAAAAAAGTCACTCTAAACTCCATAAGTGAATGCAAATTGTGTGGGGATGTACTTTTGTTTTTCAGAGTGGCAGCAACTATGCTTACTTGGAGCAGCTGGAGAGTTTATCTGCTAAAGGGCGTCCTATCCCTGTGCGTCTTGATGCATTGCCCCAGGTAGAATCACAAGTAGCAGCAGCTCGGGCGTGGAGAGAACGGACTGGGCGGACCTTTCTTAAGAAGAATTCTAGCCATACATTGTTACAGGTAAAGAGTAGTTTAATTTTTGGATACATACTTCAATCTCCTTATCAGAAGTAGGTAGTAGTATTGTTTTCATTTTATCTGGTCATGATTATACAAGTGATTCCTATTAGGTAATATTAAATGTTGACCAGAAATCTGGAGCCTATGACAAACTTATTTCTGGTTCCCCCTGTGCTGTGTCAATTAGCCTGGATCTTATCTCTGTTATTAATGGATTCTGTCACTGAAAAGACCTTTCTCAGAAGCACAAATTTAAATACTCATTACCCTTTTCATCTTGAGCATTTAAACATACTAGTTGGTCAATATGGCAGCGCAGGTAAACATGGTACTTGCATGCTCCCACAACCACATTAAATCACAACTAAACTATAGAACAAATATTCAGAACCATCTGAAATTCAGCTGAATGGAAGTCCTACAACTAGGGAATTAAAGAAGCCCCATTGAAACTGTTAGTGGGGCAGAAACACAGAACAGGCTGGTCCCACACCCATGTGTGTCGGATAAAAATCAGGAGGGATATCTTAGCTGCAGAGGTCCCCACTGAGGAACAAGAGGTCCCAACCCACACCAGGTCCCCCAGCCCAAGTTCCAATGCTGGAAGAGAAGTCCTCATAACTCCTGGCTATAAAAAACCAGTAGGGATTGAGGCTGAGGGACATAGAGACTGCTGGAGTCCCAGGCAGTTCCTATTAAAGGGCCCTGCACAAGGACTAACTCAGACTCACTTTCTCTGATCGCCAGCATGGGGCAGCAACTTACAGGCTGGAACAGGGAGGAACTGAATTGTTCAGCATCAGGATGAGAGCTAAGGATGAGAGCTAAGGGGACGGGAGCTTTCTCCCAGACAGAAGTGCTGGCAGAGGCCACTGTTACTTTGCTGGGCCCTCCTCCTGCTGGTGCAGGCTAGGGCCATATCTGAGTCTCCATCATCCTGGCTAACACTGTTTGCCCCACTCTGGTGATTCCCTGAGACCCTGCCCCACCCAACTTGTGGGCCCATTGTAGCTGCTTCAAGGGGCTTTTCCATACAAACAGCGTGTCTTGGCTTATGCTGTGAACTTACCTAAAATCTGTAGATCACTTTGTAGCTCATACTGGGTGGCCTCAGGCAGGGCATAGGCAGTAGCTGACCTTGGCCGATGATGCTGTAACCAACTGAGCTACCTGGCCAGGGCCTGAGCTGTTTCCAGTTGCTTTTCCATATGAATGGGCATCTTAGCTCATGTTTCAGATTTTCATGCTTCAGAATTTCCCAAAACAAGCAGCATCTGTCCCTCAGTAAGCTGCACATCTCTCACTAAGTTGGCCCCAGGCATAGTGGCAGCTAGCCTTGGGTCACAGCTTGGAGGGCACTTCCAAACTCAGCACAAGTAGCAACCATCTGTAGATTGCTTTGTAGCTCATACCTGGTGGCCTTTGTAGTTCATGCCCCAGGCAGAGCACAGGCGGCAGCTGATCTTGGTTTGCACCTCCCTGAAGGTCCCAGAGCCAGTGCACCCAGTGGCAGCTTTTAGAACACATCAAAGCATTACCATCCAACCACCTCAATGAGCAACAAACTCAAGAGGTGGACTCAGCAGGCACCAGACCCCTGCTGAAGTAAGTCCTACTCTGTGTAGTTGGCCTCTGCATAGCTGATCCTCCATGGTGGTTGGAGGCTAGTGGTCAGTGGTTACAGCCAGTCCTTTCAGCTGATCCATCTGAGGATAAGTCCCTCCCATTGATGTGCCAACAGCAATCAAGACTCAACTACTACAGGGGTTGTATACAGCCTACACGGGGAATGCACCTCAAGTGTCTAGCTTGGGTGTTCGGGGTGGCTGTGCCACTGGACTCTAGAGCAGTGGTCGCCAACCTGTGGTCCACGGACCACTGGTGGTCTGTGAGGTCCGAAAGGTTGGTGACTGCTGCTCTAGAGAACACCTACTACATTAGGCTACTCTACCAAGCCTGGGAGATGTAGCAGCTCTACCTAATACATAGAAACAACCCCCCACCACACAAGGACTAAATGCTGCCCCATGCTAGAGCTCAGAGAAAGTTTGTCTCATTTTGGAGGCTGTCATAATGAGACAAAGAAACATCCCAAATGAAAGAACAGAACAAAACTCCAGAAAAAGAACTAAACAAAATGGAGATAAGCAATCTACTAGATTCATAGTTCAAAATACTGGTTATAAGGATGCTCAATGAACTTAGTGAGAACCTCAACAGCATAAAATAGGACCAGTCAGAAATGAAGTATACACTAACTGAAATGAATAATTTACAAGGAATGAACAGTAGAGTAGATGAAGCTGAAAAATCACATCAGCAATTAGAATATAAGGAAGCCAAAGAGACTCAATCAGAACAGCAAAAAGAAAAAGTACAAAGAATGAGGATAGTATAAGGAGCCTCTGGGACAACTTCAAGTGTACCAACATTTCCATGGGAAATGAGAAGAGAGAGAGCAAGAAATTGAAACCTGTTTTAAAACATAATGACAGAAAACTTGCCTAACTTGGTGAAGGAAATAGATACAAGTCCAGGAAGTGTAGAGTTCCAAATAAGATGAATCCAAAGAGGCCCACACCAAGATATATCATAATTAAAACGCAAAAGCTTAAAGACAAAGAGAGAATCTTAAGAGCAGCAAGAGAAAAGTAGTTAGTTACCTACAACAGAGCTGATTTCTCAACAGAAACTTTGCAGTTCAGAAGGGATTGGCAAGAAATATTCAAAGTGATGAAAAGCAAGGACCTACAACAAAGATTACTGTACCTAGCAAAGCTAATCAAAGGACAGATAAAGAACTACAAAAGCTTAAAGACAAATAGAGAATCTTAAGAGCAGCAAGAGAAAAGTAGTTAGTTACCTACAACAGAGCTGATTTCTCAACAGAAACTTTGCAGTTCAGAAGGGATTGGCAAGAAATATTCAAAGTGATGAAAAGCAAGGACCTACAACAAAGATTACTGTACCTAGCAAAGCTAATCAAAGGACAGATAAAGAACTTTTTATACAAGAGAAAGCTAAAGAAGCTCATCACCACCAAACCAGTTTTATATGAAATGTTAAAGGGTCAAAAAGAAGAAGAAAGGTCAAGAAGAAGAAGAGGAGGAAGAGGAAGGCAATAAATACATTTCTATAAACATTTGAATATAACAAAACAAAAGTGAGTAAGTAGAACACAAATAGACTCATAGATACAGAGAACGTTTTGGCAGTTCCCAGCTGGGAAGGGGATTGGGAGAATGGGTTACAAAGGTGAAGGCATTAAGAAGTACAAATGGACTTCTTCTTTTCCCACGAAACACCAAATGGCGGATGACGCTGGTGCTGCAGGAGGGCCCAGAGGCCCCGGAATAGGGGGTCACGGTGGCTTCCGTGGAGGATTTGGCAGTGGCATTCCGGGCAGGGGCCGAGGCCACGGAGCTCGTGGAGTCAAGGCCGAGGACAAGGAGTGGATCCCTGTCAGCAAGCTGGGCTGCCTGGTCAAGGACATGAAAATCAAATCCCTAGAAGAAATCTATCTATTCTTGCCCATCAAGGAATCTGAGATCATTGACTTTTTCTCGGGGGCATCCCTCAAGGATGAAGTCTTGAAGATCATGCCTGTGCAAAAGCAGACAAGTGCTGGCCAGAGGACCCGGTTCAAGGCATTTGTCGCCATTGGGGACTACAATGGACATGTTGGTCTGGGTGTGAAGTGCTCAAAGGAAGTAGCCACTGCCATCCGAGGAGCCATTATCCTGGCCAAGCTCTATATTGTGCCAGTGCAGCGAGGCTACTGGGGAAACAAGATCGGCAAACCCTACACCGTACCTTGCAAGGTGACTGGCCTTTGTGTCTCTGTACTGTTGTGCTTCATCCCTGCCCCCAGGGGTACGGCCATTATCTCAGCCCTTGTACCTAAGAAGTTGCTGATGATGGCCTGTATTGACGACTGCTACACCTCAGCCAGGGGCTACACTGACACCCTGGGCAACTTTGCCAAGGCTACCTTTGATGCCATCTCTAAGACCTACAGCTATCACCCCAGATCTCTGGAAAGAGACTGTGTTCACCAAGTCTCCCTATCAGGAATTCACTGACCATCTTGTAAAGACCCACACCAGAGTTTCTGTGCAGAGGACCCAGGCTCCAGCTGTGGCCACCACATAATATTATACAAGAAAAATAAAGTGAGTTAAGCTAAAAAAAAAGTACAAATGGACATATAGACCAATGGAACAGAACAGAGAACCCAGAAATCTACCCAAGCCATTATGCTCAATTAATATTTGACAAAAGAGGCAAGAGCATACAATGGAGTCAAGGCAGTCCCTTCAATAAATGGTGTTGGGAAAATTGAACAGATACATGCAAAAAAATAAAAAGAGACCACCAACTTACACCATACACAAAAATAAACTCAAAATGGATAAAGGACTTAAATGTAAAACGGGAAACCATAAAAATCTTAGAAGAATCCATAGGCAGCAAAATACCAGACATATGTCGTAGCAATATCTTTACCAATACAGCTCCTAGGACAATGGAAACTCAGGAGAAAATAAAGAAATGGGACTACATCACAAGAAAAAGCTTCTGCACAGCAAAAGAAACCATCAGCAAAACAGCAAGAAAGCCCAATGCATGGGAGAACATATTTGCCAATGTTATCTCTGATAAGGGTTTAATCTCCAAAATTTATAGGAAACTCATACAATTTAACAAAAGGAAGATAATCCAATAAAAAATGGGCAAAGGACCTAAATAGACAATTTTTGAAAGAGGACATACAGAAGGCCAACAGACATATGAAAAAATGCTCAAAGTCATTAATCATCCTAGAGATGCAAATCAAAACAACAATGAGGTACCATCTCACACCTGTCAGAATGGCTATCATCAACAAATCAACAAATGACAAGTGCTGGCAAGGATGCGGAGAAAAAGGAGCCCTTGTGCACTGCTGGTAGGAATGCAGACTGGTGCAGCCACTGTGGAAAACAGTATGGAGTTTCCTCAAAAAATTAAAAATGGAACTTCCATTTGACCCAGTAATCCCACTTCTAGTAACATATCCCAAGAAAACAGAAACACCAATCAGAAAGGATATATGCACCCCTATGGTCATAGCAGCACAGTTTACAATAGCTATGATTTGGAAACAGCCTAAGTGCCCATCAGCAGATGAGTGGATTAAAAAACGGTGGTACATCTACACAATAGAATACTACGCTGCTATAAAAAAGAAGGAATTCTTACCATTTGCAACAGCATGGATGGAACTGGAGCACATTATGCCAAGCAAACTAAGCCAGTCAGAGAAAGATAAATATCACTCATTTGTGGAATATAATGAACAACATAAACTGATGAACAAAAATAGAACCAGAGACTAGAAGCATCGAACAGACTGTCCAGTCTGTGAGGGAAGGCAGGGGGTGAGGAGGTAAGAGATCAACCAAAGGACTTGTATGCATGCATATGAGTATAACCAGTGGACACAGACAGAAGGGGGATGAGGGCATGTGCTGGGGGGTGGGAGTGGCCAGGGAGAGGTCAATTGGGCAAAAAGGAGACTCATGTAATACTTTAAACAATAAAGAATTTAAATTAAAAAAATGATTATTTCAGAATATTCATGGGGATGTAATGTATAGTATAGGGAATAAAGTCAATAATATCCTAATAGTTCTGTATCGTGTCAGATGGGTTCAAGATTTATCAGGATGATCACTTAGTAAGTTATATAATGTCTAATTACTGGGATGTATACCTGAAATTAATATAGTAATGTATGTCAACCATAATTGAAAATTAAAAAATGATAAAATAAATAAATAGTAGTTAAGGGCATAGGCGTTGAAATATGATAGTTTCATGTTTGAGGACTGGCTCCCTAATTACTAACCCTGTGTCCTTGGGCAAGTTGTTTCCTTTCTGAGCCTCAGTTTTCCCATTTGTAAAATATAGACCAGGGGTCCTCAAACTACGGCCTGCGGGCCACATGCAAATACAAATATTGTATTTGTTCCCGTTTTGTTTTTTTACTTCAAAATAAGATATGTGCAGTGTGCATAGGAATTTGTTCATAGTTTTTTTTTAAACTATAGTCCGGCCCTCCAACGGTCTGAGGGACAGTGAACTGGCCCCCTGTTTAAAAAGTTTGAGGACCCCTGATATAGACAATACCTATTTCAGAGGACTGTTATGAGAACTGAATTAGGTAATGTGTGTTAAGCCCTTAAGAAAGTGCCCAGGACTTGGTGAGTAGTCAATAAATGGTTCCTTTTATTATTTTCAGTTTTAAGAATTTTTTTTTTTAAACCAGAGCTCAGTATTTGGTTTTATTTTTGTAGGTGCTAAGTCCCCGAACTGACATTGGTATATATGGGAGTGGTAAAAACAGAAGGAAAAAAGTAAAAGAACTAATAGAAAAAGAAAAAGAAAAGGATCTGGACCATGAGCCTCTGAGTGATTTGGAGGAAGGATTGGAGGAAACCAGAGATACAGCCATGGTGGTAAGAAATTATGATATGCATTTTGACTTTGTATGGTGAATACAAAATTCTGTGAAGATATTAGCGCATTCACTGTTTTTATTTTTATATACTTTCTCTGGCTTTATGGTTATATATATTTCAAATATTTTTAAAATATTTATAATCAAAGTATATAAAAAGTTTACTATACTGTTCTCTCCCTAAAATTTTTTCTATATCATTCTTTATTGTTGTCTTAATAGTTTAATATTTTATCAAATTTTCTAATATTTACTGATCATTTTTCTGATATTGAACATTTGGTTGTTATTAAGTGTTTACTATTATGGATACTAATAAAGTGAACTTCTTTGTATATAGCTTTTTCTTTTTTTAAAAAAAATATATTTTTATTGATTTCAGAGAAAAAGGGAGAGGGTGAGAGAGAGAAACATCAATGATGAGAGAGAATCGTTGATTGGCTGCCTCGTGCACGCCCCCTACTGGGGATCGAGCCTGCCGCCCGGGCTTGTGCCCCTGACCGGAATCGAACCTGGGACCCTTCAGTCCGCAGGCGGACACTCTTATCCACTGAGCCAAACTGGCTAGGCGCTTTTCCCTTTTACAAGTTCTTTTCCTACACTTGACTCTTAGGAATGGGATTACTGGGTTAGAATTTAATGGCTTAATACTATTGTGCTTTTCAAAGGAATTGTATCAGCTTACTGATATCTGCTGCTGTTTAAAACATCTTCCTTCTCTCAGTAGCATTCAACAGTATAGTGAGTGCTCAATAGAATATTTGTAGGTAATTAGGTGAAGGCATTAAGAAGTACAAATTGGTTATTATAGGATAGTCATGGGGATGTAATGTACAGTATAGTGGTGTTTTTTGTTTTGTTTTGTTTGTTTTTGGATTTTGTTTGAGAGTAGGAGGAATGTTGTTAAGATTACTAGGAGCCTGAGGAAAGAGAAAAAATAAAAATGAATTTGGTCAATATGTAGTAAGGAGTTGCATATGGCTGTTTCTGCCTACAAATGATCCTGTGTTGTTTTTTTTTTCTTCCCCATTTTAGTTTTCAATTACAGTTTGCATTCAACATTATTTTATACTAGTTTCAGGTATACTGCATAGTGGTTAGATAATCATATACTTTACAAAGTGTTCCCCCCAATAGTTCAGGTACCCACCTGATACCATAAATAGTTATTACAATATTGTTGCCAAATGATTGTGTTTTGAGGCCAGCAGAAATGATTCCTCATTAGGGAGCCTGCCCAACAGGTCATCTTACCAGGCAAATAGAATAGGAAATTATTTCAAAACTAGAGGCCTGATACACGAAATTCATGCAAGAGTAGGCCTTACTTCTCCCGGCTGCTGGCACTGGCTTCCCTCTGGCACCCCAGACCCGGGCTTCCCTCACAGCTCCGGCTTTGTCCGGTAGGTCGTCCGGAAGGACGTCTGGTCTAATTAGCATATTATACTTTTATTATTATAGATGGTTTCAAAACTATAAAAGTTTTAAAAGAAAATCTACTGACAGTATTTGTGATAATTAAATGTTATTTGCTTTCATTTACTTTTTTGAAATGAGCTACATAAAATTTTGTTATAATTGGTCATCAGGCTGTGTTACTCTACTATTACATAAGTTGGAGAGGCCTTCTAGAAATAAATAAAAATTGATTTGTATAGAACTTCCTCCCGGGGGCTGAATTGCCAGTGGATGGGAAGCTAGTATTTATTGAGTGTTTACCTTGTGCCAGGCACCAAGTTAAGCATTTTGATGTATTATCTTATTTAATCCTTAAAACAACAAAATGAGTTTGGTGGTATCCTCATTTTTCAGAAAATTGAGATTCAGAAAACTTGTGCCCCAGATCAACAATATGTAAGTACAAGAGCCAAGCTTCATACTTAGGGTCGCTTGACTTCAAGGCATACTGTCTACTGCACCCTACAGAATAATGCAAAGTACTCTACTGATGAAATTGTCAAATATAGTAGCATTTTGCCCATTTCACACAGGAATGTTTACATGGAAACTGTCACACTGCCCCACATTTTACGAAATGATTAACAACTGATTTTTTTTTTTTTTAAGGACAATGCTTTATTATTATGAGGCCCCAACTTGGAGATGATCCCTCAGCCTTAAGGATTTGGTATTTTTGGAGTATTTTGCAGTGACTCCTTTCTTTTAAATGTTCTTTGTGTACAGGTGGCAGTTTTCAAAGAACGCGAGCAAAAAGAGATTGAAGCCATGCATTCCCTCAGAGCAGCCAATCTAGCGAAGATGACAATGGTGGACCGCATAGAAGAAGTAAAATTTTGCATTTGCCGCAAGACAGCCAGTGGATTTATGCTGCAGTGTGAGCTCTGCAAAGACTGGTTCCATAATAGCTGTGTTCCCCTGCCTAAGTCAAGTACCCAGAAAAAAGGGTCTAGTTGGCAGGCTAAGGAAGTAAAATTCCTTTGCCCTCTTTGTATGCGCTCTCGAAGGCCAAGGCTAGAGACTATTCTGTCACTCCTAGTATCCCTTCAGAAGTTGCCTGTACGGTTGCCTGAAGGAGAAGCCCTACAGTGTTTGACAGAACGTGCTATGAGTTGGCAGGATAGAGCCCGGCAGGCTCTAGCCACAGATGAACTGTCTTCTGCCCTGGCCAAACTATCTGTGTTGAGCCAGCGTATGGTGGAGCAGGCAGCTCGAGAAAAAACTGAAAAGATCATCAGTGCAGAACTCCAAAAAGCAGCTGCCAATCCAGACTTACAGGCAAGTTTAGGATTTTCTTTTTTTATTTCATGAGATAATGTTTGTCAGTGTGTAAGTACTAAATCAAATCTATCTTACCAGTTGATTAGGAAGACAACAGTAAGTTGCCAGCAGTTAGATTATCCATAACATCTTCTTTCTATATACACCTATAGGATTTTGAATATATAACTAAGTCATTTTAGTGAAAAATTACTTGGAAATATTATTCAGGTGGACCTTGGTATCATAGGCAAATAATTTGCTCTGTACTAACTGGTGAACTCTGTTTAGCCACTTTGCAAGTTCATTACATTTTGGTAGTCATAATCACATATTACCCATGTTTATTCAGTGTGTCTCTCTGTTCATCCTGAAATTATTTGTTGTTTAGGGACACTTACCTACTTTCCAACAGTCTGCTTTTAACCGGGTGGTGAGCAGCGTATCTTCTTCCCCTCGACAAACAGTGGATTATGATGATGAAGAAACAGATTCTGATGAAGACATTCGGGAGACATATGGCTATGACATGAAGGTAATTACATGGTCAGGTGTGTGGGTACATATCTGATCACTGGGTTTGTTTAAAAAGATGTTTGAGGCTTAAGAGTAGAAGAGAAAGCTAGTAATCTATTTATCTTGAGTTTATGGTGATAGCATTTTTTTTCAAAGTTCCAAAAAAATAGAGATTGATGATGAAATAACAGTTTTTTTGTGTGTTTTTTTTAAGAGTGGAATTTTAAACTTTATTTTTCTCACCATGTAACTCCTTAGGTCTTAAGAGGGACTAGCAAAATTATTCTTTTAGTTACTGAAAGCTTTCATGGCTGATTTAGTATTTTTTCTTTGATTGTTAACATCTATCTAGTTATTTTTTAAAAATTTCATTGTATCTTGCTTTGAGTACTTTGCTTTAGTCTCTCATCTGGATGGTGCTAGATTGAATATCATAGTCAGAGATGGGTTACACTTGGGCTTATGGTTTGAATTTGTAGTTACAGTTGCAGTTAGAATATATTATTTGCCCTTAATATAATTATTTTGATAATGATACCACACTGGTGATGAAGAGAAAGTTTTGGCAAGTTTGTTTTGTGTTGGATTTTATTGGCCTTTTATTGTTATTTCGTGTCAGGCCCAAATCCTTGTCTTTTACCTAGTAATATTATTTGTTATTCTATTTACAGTCTGTGGCTATAACCAGGGAGTTTGTGCTCTTTTATATGAAAACCTAGGGTGCAATCTTTTCCATACTCTTTAACTATCTTTTTTTGGTCTTTTCAGCATGCAAATCAGGTAGGTAAGCTCATTCTTAGAGCAATGAATATCATCAGCATTGAATTCCCAGGATATAAATTAAAACCATCCATCATAGATGATTGTAAATTATTTGCTGGAAATATTTTTTCAAGATAAAAATGGATCCAGAGGCCCTAGCCTGGTCGCTTGGTTGCTTGGAGCATTATCCTGTACACCAAAAAGGTTGTGGGTTCGATTCCTGGTCAGGGCCCATACCTAAATTGCGGGTTCGATATCCAGTTGGAGCAAGTATGGGAGGCAACTGATGGATATTTCTCTGCCACATCAATGTCTCTCCCTTTTCCTTTCCCACTCCCTCTCTCCATTTCCCTCTCTCTTCCTCTCAAGTCAAACATATCCTCAGATGAGGATTTAAAAAGCAATGGATTCAGGGGATGTTTTAATGAGGAAATTTATAGTTATATGAAATAGACTTGAGAAAAGTTGAAACTTGAATTACCCTATTAAAATAAGGTTCTGAGTACCTTGAAGTTACCCTGAAGTTAATGACCATCTTTATTTGTATAGGATGACCAGGAGCAGCTATAAGGAAATGCAGCCCATGCCACATATAAGTTAGTTACTTAATACTAGAATTGCTTGTTTGCCGTAACTTACAGGCCTCCAATACTTGGGTTATCTTTCTAGCACATTAATAATCAACCACTACTATAGAATTGCTAAATAGGATGGGCTTTGCTTGGAAGTAGATTGTTGATATGATTGTAAGCAGTAGTCCTTTTCTGTAAAATTTATATGTGTGTCTCAGCCTAGTTTCTTTTTTGATCCGGGGGTATTGGCAATGTGAAAAATAAAATTATGGATTTTACAGTGTTAGTAATGTGTTTGATAGCTTGAAGACTGGAAGAATGGTGGCAAGACTTAATGGTAATTCAAAATAAAAGTTAGCTGGATGTAGGTATTTTTGCATTAAAAAAAATTATATACTCTTGAGTATTCTCCCATAGAACAAACACTCTGTGTAATGAAAATTATATTTGACAATTTATTTGCATTTGGCTTGGTGATTTTTCCCTTTGATATCCCCTGATTATGTCTCCATGAATTCATCCTTAAAATAGGTTGAATTTAATGTCTTTACTTAAGGAAGAGTCCCATACTGGTTTAGGAAGAAGAGTACATAATTATATAGAAAAATCAAATCAGTCATTTGATCTTATTGTAGTATTTAAATGTTTAAAACAGATGATTTATGCTTTGCATTGTTTACTTCATTTTGTATGTAACATTCTGTTATCACCACTAAAATACTCTGAGCAGCAATTCAAGAATTTTATTACTTAGGAAATATATATTTAATGAAGCAATATGTCAGATCTTTTGTGATTGTGTCTCAGATAACTTTCTTTCAGATATTCGTATAATTATTCCCTTTTAAGGCATATTCTTTACCTTTACTGAAACTTTTTATTCATATTATAGTTTGTATTTTACAAATGAAAAATGTGCAGAATTACATATATGTGCAGAATTACACATTAGAAAGGAGAGTATAAAAGAGTAGTAATTATTACCTTCCAGGAAGTTCTTTTTTGTATCCCAGTACTTGCTTATTTTAGAGAAAGACAAGTTAAACACTTAGATTTTTTTATTTTTTTCTTCTCACCTTTGTTAATACTTGGGTGGCTTGAGCTTTAGTGGAAATAGAGTAGGTTTTGTCTTGACTTTAATCTGACCTAGTACCAGATAAAATGGAATGATAGATCTATATATAAAACCCATTTCTCACTGAGAGGCCATTCCATCCTGCATATTTGCCATTGGTGAGACTGAACTATAATTTTCCTCCTTAGGAAGAGTAATTTGTTTAAGCTTGCTATTTATCAACCTATCTGTGTCCTTTTAAAAAAAAAATCTTTATTGTGAGAGTATTATAGATGTCCCTCTTTTTCCCCCCCATTGCCCACCTTCACCCAGTTCCCACCCCAGGCCTTTGCCACCCTACTGTCTGAACATAGGTAATGCATATATGCATATAAGATCTTCGTTTAATCTCTTCCCACCTCTCCACCCCCCTTCCATCTGAGAATTATCAGTCTGTTCCATTTCCATGCCTCTGATTCTATTTTATTCACCAGTTTATTCTGTTTATTAGATTTCTTATTTATTTTTAGATTCAATTGTTGATAGATAATGTATTTATTGCCATTTTATTGTTCATTTTGTTGTTACTCCTCACCTGAGGATATTTTTCCATTGATCTGTTAGAGAGAGTGGAACAGAGAGGGAAAGATAGAAACATTGATGTAAGAAAAACACATTGATTGGTTGCCTCCTGCAGGTACCCTGACCAGGGTCCGGGTCGGGGAGAAGCCTGCAACTGAGGTGTGTGCCCTTGACTGGAATCAAACCCAGGACCCTTTGGTCCAGAGGCTGACAGTCTGTCCACTAAGTCAAATCGGCTGGGGCTATTGTTCATATTTTTTATCTTCTTCTTCCTCTTCTTAAAGAATACCTTTCAACATTTCATGTAATACTGGTTTGGTGGTAATGAACTGCTTTAGCTTTTTCTTGTTTGTGAAGCTCTTTATCTGACCCTCAATTCTAAATGAGAGCTTTGCTGGATAGAGTAATCTTGATTGTAGGTCCTTGCTCTTCATCACTTTGAATATTTCTTGCCACTCCCTTCTGGTCTGCATAGTTTCTGTTGAGAAATCAGCTGACAGTCATATGGGCGCACCCTTGTAGGTAACTAACTGCTTTTCTCTTGCTGCTTTTAAGATTCTCTCTTTGTCTTTAACCTTTTGCATTTAATTGTGATGTGTCTTGGTGTGGGCCTCTTTGGTTCCTCTTGTTTTGGACTCTCTGTGCTTCCTGGACTTGTAAGTCTATTTCTTTCACCAGGTAAGGGAAGTTTTCTGTCATTATTTCTTCAAATAGTTTTCAATATCTTGCTCTTTCTCTTCTTCTGGCACCGCCATAATGTGAATGTTGGTAAACTTGAAGTTGTCCCAGAGGCTCCTTACACTATCTTCATATTTTTTAACTAGAGGCCCAGTGCACAAAAATTTGTGCACTCAGGGGTGGGGGTCCCTCAGCCCGGCCTGCGCCCATTTGCACTCCAGGACCCCTTGGGGGATGTCCACCTGTTGACTTAGGTCCACTCCCCGGGGGATCAGGCCTAAGCTTGCAGTCAGACATCCTTCTGGCAGCCAGAGACCCCTCAGGGGATGCCCGACTAAAGGCTTAGGCCCCCAAGGGATCAGGCCTAAACCGTTAGTTGGACCTTCTTAGTGCTGCCATGGAGGTGGGAGAGGCTTCTGCCACCACCTCTGCTCTGGCCAGCCATGAACCAGCTTCTGGCTGAGTGGCACTCCCCATATGGAA